CACCACCACTGTCTATAGGCAATATTTTTCTTGAAGATGGATCTATCGTCAAGGGATTTCTGGTAGAACCATTCGCTCTGGATAGTGCGCAGGATATCACAAATACGGGTGGATGGAGAGCTTATCTTAATAGCATGAACTTGCAAGTATAGATCCTTTCGTAGGACATTACAATTAAAGATTATTATTTTCAATTTTTGGAAAATATGTCGTTTGTAGTAGTGACTTTCGTCATAGACTTTCAGGAATTAGCGAAAGTTTTGTAATAGGCTACTATTCACATTCTTTATTAATAGAATAGTCCACTACTGGACTTTTGGCAACAATAAACTAACTATTGCTGAAAGTGCAAGAATGTGAATTTTTCAAATTTTAGAAGGATATTTCCTATCATCTTTATGGACTGCTAACCAGGCAGGGCATTTATCATGCGAATGTGGGTGTGAATTATGGTAAGGTCAACAACCATCCACAGTCGCGCCCACGCTCACACCCACACCCTAATCATGAAAGAAATAGTTATTCCCAATAACTTGCAAGATGTTGCTGGATCATCAATGAATTTTCAAGAATTTATAAATGAGTAAGCAACAATAAACATATTTTGAAAATGTGTTGAATTAATTATGCAGACAATATCCCAATTTGTTTCAACTGTCTAATGGCCAATTGATTATCTGTAATTTCTTTGTTAAATGGCTGTCATTCATATAGGGTGGTTCCGACTCAGAAAGTATAGAACAAGCAACAAAGTTTTTCGATGTATCTAAATATGAAGTTTTTTTCTCAATTAATTTCGTATAATACACCGATATATGCAACAAATCAACCAATGATTAATGTTTTCCCAAGTAATGATTTATTTATGTCAAGAGATTTATATGATTTGGCATTACAAATATTTAATGTTCATTCAATATCAAATGAGTTGCCTAAATTTATTACATCATTCGATCAATTTTTTAAAAATTTAAATAATCTTTTTTTCCTTTCATTGGTATATAGATTAAATAAACTTGAGCACTATATGAAAGTTTTTGTATAAGCATATGCGGAGCAAAAATTTCGTAAATAAAAAATCTTGGATGCGTGTGTCAGTGAAGAAAACCCAAACATCCACCCGCACCCACACCCTCATAAAGTTTTGTGAAACACAAACTAAAAAGAGTATAGAGATAAAACTTGAAGGGTATGGGTCGGTGGACGTACATGTCTTCTTCATCTACAGCTACACCTCTTCCGCCTAGCACAAACCCGATGGATATAGAAGAAACTAAACCGAACAGCGATTGGCCCCAACGGGCGATAAGCCTTACGGGACATTATGAATAAAACTCAAATCTCTTCAGGAAACCAGATGTTATCGACATCCCTCATGTTCTATTTGCATTCATTTCATTTCTTTTCAAATATCATACTTGATCGCCACTAACTATTGTCTTTGTTATATAGCCTTGATCATCTATTTTATTTTATCGATATATATATAGATATAGATATATAGTGGTGGACAAAATTTTAGAGGCCCTTTTATTTTATGAATTATTCTGCTCAAAATGATTTGTTGGAGACATCCAAATAGTGATTTGAATAGCCAATGAAGAGCTCTATTTAACACATTATATACCAGGACTTTATTGATAGATTATGACGGTAAGTTTTCTAAAAAACTGAAAACTGTATTTTTCAGGTCCTTGAGAACATTATGGAAATTATTTTTTGATAATGCCATCGTAAATAGCATACAATTCTGAACAAAACGAGAGGCTGCTGCAATTTTTACGACCTTCCTGTCCGAAGTTACAGGTATCACAAAACACGAAAAAATGCATTTTTTTAGCTAATTTTCAGCGATTTTTTGCTAAAAAAGGGTGGGTGTCGGTGGAGGTGTGTGGGTGTGGGAATGTGGGTGCGGTTGTGGGAGAGGATGTGGGTGCGGTAGTGGAAGAGGGTGTGGGTGGAGGTGTGAGTGGGTGTGGATGGAGGTGTGAGTGGGTATGGGTGGAGGTGTGAGTGGGTGTGGGTGGAGGTGTGAGTCGGTGTGGGTGGAGGTGTGAGTCGGTGGGTGTTTATGTACTGATTTATTCATTCACACTCACCCACACCGACACCCACACCCACACCGGGTGTGGGTGTGGCTCTTCTCTTCACTCAAAATCCCAGCCACACCCACACCCACACCCACACCCACACCCCCACCCACACCCACACCCACACCCCCACCCCCACCCACACCCCCACCCCCACCCACCCAACCCGCCA